TTTTAGCCTTTTTCGTTACATCTAAAAAATTATTCATGATATCAAAAAATGTTTCGTATAAAATTTATGCAATAAAATGATTTCTATTCATTTACGTTAATAAAGGAAAGTTACCGATGTCGGTCATATCACTTTGGTGCGTCTTGTTTTACGCTTACAGCGCTTGTAAACATTATTTGTCCTTGTTTAATATTTGATAGACAACAAGGATGAACTGACGCTTACAGCGTGTAATGAAAGCGTAATAATGAAACGTTTTCTACTCTTTGTTTTTGGATATACTTCTTAAACAAAACGTTAAAAATAAAACTTTAGAACTACAAATCAGATAGTATATTATCAGATAATGTAACAGTTTTTACAATATTGTTTGCTACTTTGCAATAATTACTTTTTTTGTAAAATAAACAAAAAATGAACGTCTGATAAAATAGGACCCAACACTGACATAGTAGGCAGTAATATATTGTACATATTCCTATTCTTTTTCTTTCACAAGAATTATCTGTACAAAATATCGAACAAGTAACTTTATGCTATTTTGCAAGATGCAAACATGTAACAAATATTTACTTTAAGTTTCTAAAAATTTAACTAGATATAGATCTGAAAATAATTTTGTTAGACTATCAAAATAATTATGTCGAATGCTCAAATTGATTGCTAGATTGCCAAAACTGCAGGACGTTTTTAAGGTATAATATGCCTCATTGTTGTAGGTACTAGCCAGTATAAATTAATAACGGAAAATGATTGCATATTGTATAGATTTCATTTTATAGTATTAACATGAGACAACTATATAAATCTTGTAAAAAATACTCATAACTGAAGTATACTGAAAGAAAGTTACCGCAGAAATTTCAGTCTTCCTTTGTCGAATTTCCTATTTTTCTTAAACTGGTTCTACATTAGTCGCATCGCAGCGTCATAAGAATGTCACAAACGTCACGGTCCAAGCAACATCAAGCTGACTCGACTTTGGTTGGATTACAATGCTTGCGACAGTACGATGTGACTAATGTAGAATCAGTTTTTTTTTTTTTTTTTTTTTTCCGATACAAAACTTGTGACGCGTGATTTTTCTACGAGTTTGTAGAACACACATTGGCATCTACCTGACGGCATAGACAAATTATTTGAAAGAATTGTAATTTTTCTTATATTTATGAGATATGTTTCCTGTCGAGGCATGTTATCCGAGATGTTATCCCATTTTATTCTATAGCGATAATTGTATAACAATAATGTTTAATAAAAAAATTTCTATTTTATTTTTCATACGGAACTAATATAGCATCCATTGTTGCTTTGCTTATATAACTAATGCACATCTCCATAGACTGCATGCATAATTTATATTCGCACAGTAATCTGATATGAAGAATCGAAAAATTTCTTAGAAAAAAATAGCGCCGTAGTTCCAGTTCTCTCGAACTAGATTTCTTATCTTTAAATAACTTTTTTTTTATTATTTTAAGATAGAAATTGTTTTTCATTAAAGTCCGTTTCTTTGTTTTATAAAATAAAAATTAATTTAAAACAAAGATTTAAAAAACGTCTTGAGAAAATATAAGGAATGATATATTAAGAATATTTATATAAATTCGTATTTAAAAATATTGTAAAAGAATGTAGCCGAGTTACCGTGCAAACCTTGACAAAATAATATAGATACATATATTAGGAAAAACGTGCAAGCACCCTTGATTTGCACGCATTTGTTTATCGTATACATGCATACATTATCCGTTATCGCTTTATCAGTTTTGTAACGAGAAATTATTTACATATTTACGATTATATAGTAAATTAGCTAACCCTTTTGTCTAGCATGGAGGTTCGCGAAATCTTTGGCACTCTTTTACAGAATTAAACAATAAATACCGTACTCTTAGTTATACTTTCTTCTCTTGCATTGAAAGTAAAAAAATTTCGTTTGTTTAGTAAAATTTATTTTACTATGTTTTGTTTTATATTAATCGTTTTAAAGTAAATAGTTTAGCATAAACACGAACAAAACGAATGTAATTAGAGAGCGCAAATATCAAAAATAGATTTTAGTGAAGTACGATTGCTATTTCATCGTGTCGTTTTTCATTTTGTTAATTTTTAATTTTTTACAGCTTATGCTTGTTTAAACAGGTCATCGACACTGAGAATGCCTTTGTGTGTCACTAATAATAAACATGCCGCGGGGTTTAGCCACACATGACACGATTTAATAATAATATTTAATAGATAATTAAAAAGTATTTTTCTCTCAAAAATTAATTATCTTCTTAAGAGGATATCAAACTGAAGACCGAACTCTAATAGCATCGTTATTTTATCAATGAAATGCGACTTCCATACGATTTACAAATATCGATAAATACACATTCTTGTATATTATATTTATATTGCACGTATAAATTTGCATAAATTTTCGTAATACATTTTCGTATCGAATTTTAGTCTAATTCTAAGAATTCAACGTTGTTTTATTTGAGTAAAGTGTAAACTACCAGTCTGTGGACTATAATTTTGTAAATCTAGATTGCTTTTATTATTAAGCAAATATTGTCACGACTTGATAGTTGTAGACGCCATATTGGACTAAGAGAAATAGTAAAGATCTCAATTAAAAAAGTTTTTGTCATTCCTGGCATTTCATGCTAGTATTAACGCGTATACTTTAATTCTGAAAAATGATTTTCAAATCTCTAAAAATAATATCGATATCATTCTACGAAAATTATTATTGTTTAATCAGTAAAACAGACGAAAGTTGGCTATGTAGAATTTTTTATGTGGAAATTTTGCGTTTTTTATTAACCACCCAGGTGTTCGAGCTTCAGTGCAATTTTTATATTTGGTCCCGACTGTATAAAAATCTGAAAAGAATTGTTGTAAAAGCTTTAACAATTAGCTTTTACTATCGTAGAAATCGGATTTTATTTATTTTTTACAAATTAAAATTCATCTGCCGGAATTCACAATAATCAAACTATTATTGACTATGCTTTCAATCAAAGTCTTGGTGATTAACACTTTCTACGAATTAATTTTCAATCTATTATAAAAAGAAACTTAATTGTAGTAACCCAAAGCGTTAGTTTTATTCATGCGATCTCCTTCGACCCTCTGCTATGTTATATGTTTGCAATATGATTTCCATACTTATAGGAGAGAAAAGTTTACTAAATCGCCGCAATACACGGTCTGTAAATAGTCGGAGAATTGAATGACGAATTAAGCAAAATACTAGTATAATTGCAAATTAGCGCAAATTGGAGATTGTTACAAGAGAAGGAGCTGGCAAAGTGACGGATGTATATGTATACGCAAGAATCTTCGTCTTGTTGAAAGTTAACGAACGCAGAGTAGCGGCTCGTTAACGAACAGGGATTCTCTTCATCCTACCGGATCGCGCGCTAGAGAAGAAAATATCCCGTCCCCGGCTCCTCTTCCTCCGTCATTTTCACTTTTTTTTAACTCGTCGCTCGTCGCAGGCTCACAAAGCGCCTCATTAGTATAATTTTTTTCGATGCTGCGTCGCGTCGCGTCGCGTCGCGTCGCGTCGCGTTGCGTCGCGTCGCGTTGCGTTTGGTTTGCGTGCTAAACGTGTGTTCGTAATTTTGACAACAAATTAATTGTTTCTGAAAAACGAGGGAGACATTTTACAAATGCCTCGAAATAAGCGAAGAGATTTCTAGTAATTATTAATCCGTGAAGATTCAGCGACTGTCGGAGAATTTTGCTGACGTTAATTTATATCTCGACATTAACGAGGCTGGTGAAAAAGGCAATATAGTCTCTCGCGTGAGGTGCAGAAATGCACCGTAGTGGAATGCACAGCAAACTTTGTTCACTCAGTAATTTACGAGCCAATTCAAATTGTAAACGCAACGCGCTTCGTTAGAAAAGTTCGCGCGGTCGAGATTTTGAAGCGCGAATCAGCGCGAATCTTTATAAACAATCTCCATAATAAATCATCATAGACGCGTATATATACGGATCTAACATCTAGTTTCTCTTTTTCTTTACTTGTAAAAATAGATGCTGCCTAAATAACATATGTAGATTTTGTAATCCTATTTTGTTGTAATAATTTGAAAAATATAAGAAGATACGGTATGCGAAGCGCAAATATTTTCCAAACCCCGATATGGACTCTCGTGTAAAATTCCGCTTGGCTCTCTGATCTCTGAGTCGGGAAGTAAGAAAAATAACGCAACACGCGAGGTAAGAAAAATAACTGTGCGCCATATCGTCCAGTCCGATTTCGATAACGCGCGACGAGAAAAATATATCAGCGACAGTAGTGCTTGCGCGCAAGTCGGTCCACCCACCGGCCGGTCGACTATACTTCACTTGTCGACAAGTGATATTTTCATCGTTTTTCGAATGACAACTTACCCCGGAAGATTAATCACCTCAATGCCGAAGAGGTGAGTTCTTTTTAAAATATGTAGCTTTTCGCGAAAGAGTTTCCCTATCCCTGTTTATATATTGGGTACTATACGAATAGCGGCTTATTGCGCTCGCAATTTAATCCCACCGCGTAGAACGAGGCGGCCATACGTGCGATAAGTCATT